GTGTCCTACAGACACCCACATTCTTGGACTGTCATATCCTGATACCTCCTCATAACCACATTTCCGTGATTGTCAATGAAAAGAATCTTTGCTGGAGACAGATATACTGGTGCGCATTTCGCTTCGTCAGCACGTTTGGGATCAACCAAATGAACCTAAGATCCAGAAGATTATTGCCCGGTCAAAAAAGTAAACTGAAAATGACGGCTTCAAACAATGAAAACTAACCAAGGTCTGAACTATGGCATGATTAGTCGCATTCATTTTACTGTGCATTGGAGAGTCACTAGAGCATGCGCCAATGCAATAATTTGCTGAGTAACCTTCAGGAGCAATGACCCATTCCTAAACCTTTCTTGGTCAAATAATTTCATATGAACCCTGAGCACTTTCTCAAAAAGAATTTGCAAAAGTTGATTTGGAAAACTGACCTTCCATCCGATGTCGGCAAAGTTGAGATATAGACTTTGTACATGACAACCCTCCGCTTCACCTGAATGAAAATTGATGTAAAAATCGTATACAGCTAAACAAAGCAAGATCTCCACTCAATAATGAGACACCTCGTCTATGGTCATAATGGAGGAAGCCCCCAATGCTTACAAGCACAACCATAGTATAAAAGCTACAGCAGCAGATGCTGTTAGAGATTCTCATGCTTTATAAAGATAAATCAATCCTTACAACGCTGGTAAGCGCAATAAGGATAGGCCGAGAGTGTGCACTCATGCATTGCGCTACCACAATTACCGATCGGAGTAAGTTCCAGCTTTGCCGCGCCTTTTTCTCCAAACTTCGACTTTTCCTGTCTTTGTACTGCGTCGAAGTTTCAGAAGTTGGCGGCGAGTGCGCCGGAGAGGTGCATACTGAACTCTAGCAAAAACGGCATTTGACTGCCGCAGCGCGACGGCCATACCCTCCGGACCTTATTGCCTATAGACATTGTAAGGATCCCAATCTCTATGACATCCATCGCTAATAGGCGCCGGCCTCTGCGTCATCATTATGCCCGCGATCTGACCATTGTCGTTTGAAGATCGATTACGCAACTGCAATACAGCTGGAATGTTTTTGATAACGCTCTTTCTTCTTTCGCACCACGATTGCAACTACTTCGAACATGAAACAACTCATATTTAAGAAGTTCAATATAGTCCATATAAGAATAACGTTATCAAAAAGTATTTTGTCACTGGATTAGTTTTTTCCTAAAAATAGAT